ATTTTGAATCAGCATGACGAGAGAAATCGATCTAGACATGTCCGTCCGTCTGTCCGTCTGGATGAACGCAAGGATCTCAGAAACTATAAAAGCTAGAATAACCAAAGGCATCCAGATTCTCCTAGGTCCGAGAAAAGACGAGCTTATTTTATTTTTTTTAATTTTCCCCCCACATTTCAAATGCTACCTAAACTAAACATTGCACACATTGTTGTTATTAAATTCGGTCAATTCTAAGAAAAGTTATTAGCAAAACAAATTCTTGCCAGTACAACCCCCCCAAACTGCAGCAAGAAGTTCGCTCTTCTTCCTCTTTTTGCTGCTTCTATGGGCGCATATAACTCAGTGACGGAAGTTTACCTGGGTACAGGGTATTACACTGTCAGGCTTGCACGACTGTAGCGTTCTCTCTTGTTTTTGCTTGAACTCATGAACTATTATATGAGGTGGACAAAATTTTGGGTGACAAATAGTTTCAAAAGCTTCAAAAGGAACACTAATCTTAAAAGAAGCAATTTCTCGGGGCACGGTAAAATTAAATTTCGAGGTGGAAACGCTAGATTTGCTAGTGATGTAAGCTGCGATAGACTCACAGCTAGTATCAGCAAACAGCCTTGAAACAAATACTTGCTTCCGAGGCGCTACGACTGTAAGGAGAAGGAGGGCATGCAGGTGAGGTAAAAGCAGTATCGAACGTTACACCAGAAGGCAGTTCGCATTGATTCATACCACATCGGGTACTAAAACCTACAATGTTGTCGCTGGTGTTCCCCAAAGGTCGGTCTTAGGGCCGCTGCTATGGAACGTCATGTGTGATGAGTTTCTCCGCCTTCAGTTCTCACCTGGCACATCTGCATCGGAGGTTTGCTAGTGCCATCCAAACATTCCAGTCCATCCTACCTAGGAGTTATGTTGGACACGCTGCTTTGCTTTCGAAAGCACTTTGAGCATACGAATAAGTAATTTTCGGGGCCCCAAGCGATGACGGAAGTTACTGCTTATGAGCGTAACTAAATCAATCTATTCTAATCTATGCGGCGCCAATATGGAAAGTCGCGGTGAAAAATAATACTGCTGATCTGATGATCGCGGGGATGGCGAGCAATCTCCACGGCATTGCAGCTGGACATCCTCGCAGAATTGAGTGGGCGGTGGCTACAAAATCAGCACGTGGCATGAGCGTACAAGGGCAGATGGACCCACATACTAATAACAGACGTAGCATTGTGGACTGAAAGAACGCACGGGAAGGTTGACTTCCATCTTAAGCAATTGCTAAGCGGCCACGGATGCTTCAAAACCTACCTCCACAGAGTTGGGCACTACCTGCAGAGGAGTAACTGAAGATTCAACTATCGTAACCGGCACTCTTATATTGGCGCCGAACTTTGTGGCCAATAAGATTGCCAATGAGGACTCGTGGGCTGCAAATGAATACTTTCCGGTTAAAGCAATGCCTTTCGGCCGCACCGCCGTACCTGGAGCACAACGTGTGTATATTTTATTTACATTCACATAGACACAATTCCTATGTAAATGTGCAGGTTTACACCCTTTACGTAAGTTTGAATACCCATGGAGGTATAATTGATCACAATTTCGTTAATTTTTTTAAATTTCCATAATTATTCTACACATATGTACACTTGTTTTATCCTACCTGTGGGCGAAAATCCTCAAGCTGAACTCTCCCCTCCTGGGTACCTGGCAACGAGGGCGACTAACCGACCCAATCCTGACAAATCTAAATAAAACGAGATAAACACATGCTACTGTACCAATCACAGCAGAGCAGACTTCAGCGGATGATATCCTATGGGCTACGCGAGTATTGCCCTGCAAGCGGTAGCGCACCGTGGAAGAAGAGCAGAATGCAGCCCGAAAAAGGCCCACGACTCAAGGAAAGCCTTGGTCCAGTTCCTTCACTGATGTGATCAAGGATTGGACATATCAACGTACTCGGATTACGGGAATGTTCTGGGGAGCCTGTATATGGAGCAGAAGCTTCTCGACGTCAGTGACGGAGAGACCGATAGCAGAAACATAAACGAGAGAGGTGAGTCTCTTTATGACTACATAATTAGAAGCAATTGAAGGTAGAAACCTCACCGTTGTAACAAAGAACCGTAGCTATGTGTTGGACGTCACACTTGCGTGTGACTCCCTAGCGGATTAAATCCTAAAGAGTTGGGCCCAAATGAACGCTCGTTCTCGTATCACTCGGTTCCCTTACCAAGCGCAGAACCAACCCGAAGGATGAGCTGCCAAAACACATGCCTTTTACAAACATATGCTCGGCAGCGCTCAATAAAGCCTGCTCGAGCACTGTTTATAAAACTTACCGAAAACCACCCTAGTGGTCGCCTGAACTGAAGAAGTTTTGTGTCGACTGCAGGAATCTTTTTAACAAAGTTGGAAGTAGCAACACTGATCGTAGCTGGGAAACCTACAGGCTCAATCTAACTAGTTACAAGTCGGAGATTAGGAATGTTAATCGCCAACCATATTCCGATAGGCTGGAGCGAGATGAAATTGGGAAGCACCACCAATGCTGGGAAAGCATCGCATGTAAAGTACAAAGACTTTAGGCCCATAAAATTGTCTTCGTTTCTACTAAAAGAGATAAGTAGAAGCCTATCTCAGAACCTCAATCAGCCCGACTTTGCTGTTTTCTTCCCTACACGCGTACAGTAAGGAAAGTCCACTGACACTGCCCTTCACTCCCTGGTCTCAAATATAGAAAACTCACTTTTTATCAAAGACTCATTCGAGAGTCGAGAAAGGCTACTTCGACATAGCGGATGCGTTCAATAACATACTGCCTTCTGCGACTACCGGATTTATGACAATACTTTGGGTGGAAGGATATCTTGTCGACCTCATCAGCTTGCTGCTCAGCTCAAGTAGCTGCAAGGTTGTGAATGCCGAGCTGACCGGTCAGACCTCCCGTAGGTTCGTGAGGAGAGGCATTACATAGGGCGGTGTTCTCTCCTCTCTTCTGTGGTTGTTAAAGACGGAACACCATGTTGCTATTGCATACGCGGATGATATGCTATTAATTTGTAGTGGTGAATTTACGCAAACGCTGTGCAACGTAGTGGAATCAGCTCTTTCAACAATCTCAAGGTGGGCGTCACAATGCCGGTTAGGAGTGAATCCCAGAAAAACGGAACTAGTACTGTTCACAAATACATAAAATTGCAGAGCTTTAACTGGCTAAACTCAATGGAGTCAGGTGCAAGGCTAAACATCTGGATAAGAAGCTTTACTGAAAGCTTTAAGAAAGCCACAAATGCACTATACTCGTGCAAGAAACCTTTGGGGTTTCTCAACCCGTGTGGTACATTGGATCTATCAGACTAGCAGTCGAGCAATCGCACTTTATAGGGTTGCTCTGCTCTTACACTGCTCAGCAAGGTACAGAGATCAGATCCAGATTTAATTAATTAATTTAATTTTTTTAATACATTTTTTTTGTGGGGTGGTACAGGGTATTTAAGAGTTGAGCCTGCTCGACTTTAGCATTCCTTTCTTGTTTTAATTGTTAATTTAGGCGATTAAAATAAATTGACTTTATTCAATATAAAAACAAGTAACTAAAAATATTTATAGAAATTAAAAAAATTTAGAAAATTAAAAACAAATTTTTTAACAATTTTACCTCTCTCTGTATTCGAACTCATGTAAAGGGTGTACAATGGCACATTCACATAGCAATTGCGTCTATGTGAGTGTATGCATGCGTGTCTATTCGTGTCTGTGTAACATTTTGTTACATTTTGTAGCTCCCGCAAACCTATTATACTTTTGTACATTCCATGTACAGAGTATAACAAGAAAGGAATGCTAAAGTCGAGCAGGCTCAACCCCTAAACCACCCCACAAAAAAATGTATTAAACAAATTTAATTATTTTAGTTAATTAATTAAATATAAAATATTCCATACATGCATACATACATTTACATTTTCATCAGAATCGTGTCTATGCGTATTTGTGTACTTGTACATATGTATGTGTGCATTACATAATTATGTCAAAGCACTCTTGCTTTGAAACTAGGGATACGGATATATAATCACTAAGTGGATGTCTACCAAATTTTAGTTTAAAATTCCAAGGATAACGAGAGTTATAGAAAATCACAAATAGTGTGGAAGTGGTGGGGAGGGAGCATCGGGAAATATAAACAAACTTGCCCTTTCTTGGACGTAGGAAAATCTGGATACCACGTTTGGTTATTCTAGCTCTTACAGTTTCTGAGATCCTTGCGTTCAAACAGACAGATTTGATGTGTTTATGCATGTCAGCGTCCGTTAACACGATGTTCGCGTCCGGTCAGGAGAGGCTGTAGTTCGAATTTCTAGAAAAATAGTGTCCGCGTACGATCAAGAAGTGTCCACACAAGAGAGTCGAACTTGCTCTAAAAAGTACACCAAAACGATGTTAGGTTAAAAGAGGTGTCCGTTAAGGGAGTTTTCACTGTATACCCTTTTTATCCTACGGGTACAGGTACTTGTATGCTTCAGAATCACATAATATAACCGAGGTTGCATTCGGTCTTGTTCGCTCAATTTATGTTAGTCTTAAGCTGATCTTCAATACATAAATGCGCAACGTATTCTGAATTATTGAGAAATTTCGTTCAACGTTTGAAGTTTTGACCATTTGTTCGACTCAAGTCATTGTAAATCGTTATGCATAAAGCTCCCTCAATTACTAAAAAATACCAGTCAATTAAAACCCTTTTAGTTTGTTATGGTATCGTAATCAAATTTGGTATTTATTAGCTTTTTTGATGCCTCAGCATATACTATAGAATGAGGTTTCATCCATTAATTGGTGCACTTTATTATATAGCTGCCATAAGTACCAATGGTGAATGGGTGTCACAACTAGCCTTGGCCGCGCTCATCTTGAAGTTTTCTCGATGTATATTAAGTTTATTTATGCTTATTAAAATTCCAAGAATATACTGTATTTAAACAAATTAAAAAGAATTTGATTAACAAAACAATTTTAATAATAGTTTACGTTTGGCTTCATATTCCGATAAGTATACTCGTATATAAAATATAAATTTTATATATTTAAACAAAGTAGGATTATATGAAGCATTTTGGGCCATTACAGATATGTTGCTTAAAACTTAATTTAGAAAATAGTAAAAAAAATATATATGCAAATCCTTAAGTATGCTATACATATGTATATGATTGGATTTTTTGACGTTGGCCTACCCGCGATATATTACTACAGTCTGCTACTCTCGTGTTGTGGGCTCATTGCAACATTGCTAATATTGTGACGCAACATTTGTTGCGACTTATCGTATCCATTGTTCGACATTTGCAGGTGCTGAGGAAGCATGGCTGGCCGCCCATTGGAGGGAAGTGACTCATCGACGGTGAATACAGCATTGTCATGCCCAAGCGTACGACGAGCGTTGTCAACGTCATCTAGATCGCCCTTTTGTGTCTCCTGGTTAGTACCATCGGCTTTGCCCTCAAGCAAGAAGCAGGTGATGAAGAAGAGCACTGAGCCTATAGAAATATAAATAGTATTATCAGGATACGCAACATAAATAAGAAAGCTTTACTTACTGATGCCATAAAAGCCTGCATAGAAAATCATAATCGAGCCACGGTAGCCTAAAACTTTGGCCACCGGATCCACCAAAATTGGCAAATTGCCGCCAAAGTTGTTCATGACAAACAAAAACACGCCAATGGTCGAGGAGCGGACACGCAACGGTACGATCTCGACAACAATAGCGAATACTATGCCGAACCACATTTCAGCGAAGAAGTAGCTCAGGCCTAGTGTGATCATGGCCCACATTGGATCAAAGTACACTGAGCCGAAGGCCGGCAGTGTTGCAATCAGCTGGCTTACAGCCAAGACAAATGCACGCGAGCGTATGCCCATTTTGGCAACAATCTTGTCCGATACTATGCCACCGACCACGACACCTACACTACCAATACCAATGGTTACGCCGAATAACCACCAGCCCAGATCTACTTCAGGAAAGTAGGTGTTATAGTAAAGGTCAGCGTTGTAGGCAAATGTCATGCCCCCGCAATGACGTATCGAGGCCGCAATCATCAGCATGATCATTGCTGGATTTTTAATAACTTTCCAAAGCGAAATGGGTTTTCCACTGGCTGTTTGATGATCACCTTCACCAATGGACTTACGTTCTGGCTCCTTAAGAGTAGCGCCGGTGAGAGCAGCCACAATGATGGTTAGTACACCGGCACCAAGATAGCAAACACGCCACCCGAGATTCCAAAAGTTCAGCTTAGTAATGTAACGACCCACGGGAAAGGCAATGCCATAACCACCGTATATTCCCCAGTTAAAAATTGCCATAACTAGAGCACGCTTGTCTTCCGGAAAGATGTCTGACATAATGCCTGTTGCCAGAGGATTACATCCAGATTCGCTGTACTTGATAAAGGCGACAGATTAGAGATTAATAGACTCAACAATTGATCCAATGTACTCACCCCGCGGCCATGACCATGCGCAGCAGGACCAGCTGCCAGTACTCTTTCACTGTGCCTTGCAGTATGATGGCTATGCCAAATATTACCGTGCACACAGTCAGCATCTTGACACGATTGTATTTGTCTGCCGCGAAGCCCATAAAGACACCTGCAATTGTGAATACAAGTATGAAAGTGGGCCCCGCCAGGATTTGGTAGTCGATGCCCAGGCCATTGTAGTTCCACTCGCAATAACCAGTGCTGTTTATATCCAAGGCATAGCAGCTACTTTCGTTGGCCACATCTGCGCACTGCGTGGGTAGCTCGTGCCGATTAAACATGGTGTTGTTCTGTTGGCATGCATGGTCACCATAGTCCAGCTCAATTGCAGTCTGTTTTGAGGTCACGCCAATCAGGTAGTGTCCCAACTCGCCCAGTATGTATCCAATTGTTAGAATGCCCAGCACGTAGGAGTTGTAAAAGCCACTGATCTTCTTCAGAAGCGGTATCATCCTGAAGTGATTTAAATTAAGGCAGTTGGTGGGGGAAAAACTGCAATTATAAAAAGAAGGAACGGGATTTAATTTATTGTATGCCGGACACTTCATTTGTAATGCATATCGCCCGCCGTTTACAAGATGATAAGTATCCACTTATGTATATGTACGAGTACGCACTTTGTGCCGTTGGAAAGTAAATAAAACATGACTGCATGTTGTCTCAAGAGGAAAATACGAAGCTGCATCAACATTTTTAATTTGTAGCCGATGCGAAATGTAAATAAACGAGCGTGGCAGAAAATAATAATTAAACTTGTGATATAATGCAATCAGAATATTTGTTTTCTTGATTGTAGAAAAATGCACCAAGGGTAAAAACGTTCTTAAATTGAGAAAATTTTCTATTTTTGTACCATATACCCGAGATGTAAAAAGGGTATTATTATTAAACAAAGCATGTACCAGGAAGAAGGAAGCATGCCTATTACATTTTTCAGCTCGCGCATACCTAATACCTATACTATACTCTTGTACATTTTATGTACAGAGTATAAAAACAAGAAAGGAATGCTAAAGTCGAGCAGGCTCAATTCTTAAATACCCTGTACCGCCCACAAAAAAGTAATTAAATTAATTAATTAATTTAATTAAATTAATTAACAAAATTAATTTAATTAATTAACTAAATTAAATATAAAATATTCCATGCATGCATACATACATTTACATCAGAATCGTGCCTTATGCGTGTTTGTGTACATATGTATGTATGTGTGCATTGGGCCTGGTTATATGGCTATAACTTTCTTTCCGATCATTCTATCATAATGAAACTTGGTATTTTCACTAACCTAATGTGACAAATTTTAGTTAAAAATTCCAAGGATTACGGGAGTTATAGAAAATCGTTAATAGGGGGGAGTGGGGGGTTGGATCACAAAAAATGAATAAACTCGTCCTTTCTCGGTCTCAGGAGAATCTGTATACCAAGTTTGGTTATTCTAGCTCTTATACTTTCGGAGATCCTTGCATTCATACAGACAGACGGACATGGCTATATCGACTCGGCTTGTCATGCTGATCAAGAATATATATACTTTGTGGGGTCTACCAAGCCTCCTTGTGTGTGTTCCATGTGCACTCGCACAAAACTAATATACCCTTGTACCCTTTGGGTACAGGGTATAAAATAAGTACATAATAATAATAACTTCATAATAGATTTCATTTCCATCATGTCGAATAGTTGTTGAGTTCAAATATTGGGTTTTTTAAAGCCGACTTCAACTGAACCAAAAACTCATTTGTAGGCCTATAACAATTTCTTGATACAGTTTGAAAGCGAAGCTCAATCGTGCAAACTGCTGTAAAACAAACAGTATACAAATTCTGGTTGTCTAGCTCTGATCGACCCTCGCAGCTGTAGCAACGGCCCTCGCCTACCTCCTCGACCACGGCATTTCTATAATCAATCAAGTTAATTTACTTTTTATGTTTTGCTCAATTGTCGTTGTTGTTGTAAAACAAACAATATGTACACTGTTCTGTTTACTTTCGGGTTTTTTGGATTTTGCCATTTTAAAAATTTTGTTGACAAGCAAGGTCAACGTCAAGAATTGCTGAAATAAATAAAAGCTCCGATCATTAGTGCAAGGAAATGCTCGTAACCAAAAACAAAACAGCACAATTCGAAGTCTGACAAGTGTCTAATGAAACGTGTTATCCAGATACGTTGGTATCTATAGAATATGCGGCTTGAAGCAGCCAAGTATGCGGATGCTCGTGTCGGGCCATTTCAGAGAGTAGTTTGGAGTAGTTTATTCAATTTCCAAGCTTCAAAGGTTCACGGATAGAATAATATATATATAATATATATATATATATATATATATATATGTAAATAAACGAGAGTGGCAGAAAATAATAATTAAACTTGTGATATAATGCACTCAGAATATTTGTTTTCTTGAGCAGCGCTGCAGCAGCAAATATATTTATGGCTATAACATCTTGTTAAATCGGTCTATCATAGTCTATTAACATACGCGTAATTTAAAATCTTATAATTTGTACTTGTAATTTAAAATCGTTCAAGTTTCTCTTTTCTATTTAGCCGTGGCATAAGGACACATAATAACCAACAAAATTTTAGTTCGAAGTTCTAAGAATTAAAGGAGTTATGGATTGCGAGGGAGGGAGGGAAATTCCAAAATAAACATTTTCTGCGTATTCGCACAAGACATCTGGGACTAAAATTTGGTGTTCCTAGGTCTTATAGTCTCCGAGATATAGGCGATTATACGAATGGAAAATCGGGAAAACCCCCATAGGGGGGAAGTGGGGGGGGGGGGGAAATCAAAAAAATAAAACAAACTCGTATAGAATACACACATAACGCTCTATCTCTTATAGTCTCTGAGATCTAGGTGATCATACGGACGGACAGACAGACAGACAGGGCTAAATCGACTCGTCTTGTCATGCTGATCAAGAATATATATACTTTGTGGGGCCTGCCACGCCTCCTTCTTCCTGTTACATTTTTCACCTTGCGCAAACCTAATATACTCTTGCACATTTCATGTACAGAGTATAAAAACAAGAAAGGAATGCTAAAGTCGAGCAGGCTCAACTCTTAAATACCCTGTACCACCCCACAAAAAAGTAATTAAATTAATTAATTAATTTAATTTAATTAATTAACTAAATTAATTTAATTAATTAACTAAATATTAATTAATTAAATATAAAATATTCCATGCATGCATACATACATTTACATTTATATCAGAATCGTGCCTTATGCGTGTTTGTGTACTTGTACATATGTATGTATGTGTGCATTGGGCCTGGTTATATGGCTATAACTTTCTTTCCGATCATTCTATCATAATGAAACTTGGTATACGGATATATAATTACTAATCTAATGTAACTATCAAATTTTAGTTCAAAATTCCAAGAATTACGGGAGTTATAGAAAATCGGTAATAGGGGGGGAGTGGGGGGGTGGATCAGAAAAAATGAACAAACTCGTCCTTTCTCGGTCTCAGGAGAATCTGTATACCAAGTTTGGTTATTCTAGCTCTTATACTTTCGGAGATCCTTGCGTTCATACAGACAGACAGACAGACAGACGGACAGACGGACATGGCTATATCGACTCGGCTTGTCATGCTGATCAAGAATATATATACTTTGTGGGGTCTACCAAGCCTCCTTCTGTGTGTTCCATGTGCACTCGCACAAAACTAATATACCCTTGTACCCTTTGGGTACAGGGTATAAAAATTGTTTTCTTTTTTGTGGGAGTGGGTACAGGGTATTTCACTGTCGAGCTTGCTCGACTGTAGCGTTCTCTCTTGTTTGTTTTTGTGGAAATTGTGCCAGGTATTTAAGACTATTGTTAAGTTGTGGAAGAGAGAGTGTAGATTGCCGAAACATGACCATTCCAACTTTATGATATATAGTATATGTACATAGTATCTAAAGTGCAAAAAGCGTCGAAGTTGTCGTTTATATTGAATGTACTTAGAACTTAACGACTCGGCAACGTATACAAAATAATATTTACCAGAAAAAAAAGCAATTTCTTAGGGCGTAGCAAATTAACATACGCGTAATTTAAAATCTTATAATTTGTACTTGTAATTTAAAATCGTTGAAGTTTCTCTAGCCGAAAAACTAACAAACCTATAGCCCATGAACTTGAAATGATGTGTAAAACAGGTTATTTCTCGTGCTTCTCTGAGCTTAATCATGAGTGAATGGAGTGGCCATGCAACAATGACAAACACATAAATAACGCCCAATAATACTGGCCGATTACTCTCAAGTACAGGCCTGTCATGATAGAAGGGTACAGACTCGGCTAATGTTCGTGACAAGATTTTACCAAGAACAAACCGCAAGCTAGGCTACACTGGTATATACATACTTACATATGTATGTATGTATGTATGTACATTGCCATGCACTTAAATTGGGACAAGATTTTTTGGCTCTTGTATTGTGTTTTTATAGCCTGTACCCAAAGGGTGAAAGGCCTATCTAAATCGATCAATTTATAGAAAAGTTAATAGCGAAACAATTTCACTTCGGTACTACGCCCACAAGCCGCAGCATCAAGTTCATTCTTCTTCCTTTTGCTTCCGCTAGGGACGCATATAACTTAGTTCCGGAAGTTTTGTTAAAAGCAAAACAATTCGTGTGTTTTTTTTTATTTCTATAGAGTTTCATTACAACTCGGCTTGTGGTTTTTAATATAATTAGCGAAGGCTTTTACTTTTTCCGATATCAACATAGTTTTATGTTCATCTACGACTTTTACTTTAATTTGCTGCAATATATACTGCTTAAATTCGTTTGCTGAGTCTATATTGGTGCTCTAAATGTCAAAAACTTCTACGTACCCAAACACGAGTTTTCTGCAATGAAAGCGATTTTTTCGAAAACGGGCAAAGGAGACTTATACATTATGAATCTGTGTACTTTTGTTAAGACATTGACATTGTTATCTCCACGCGCTGTGCGAAAGTAATACTCAACAAAACACAATTACTTTTGTTTTAGATTCCTACTAAATAGACACACACAAAATACTGGATAACGCGAACACACATACAATGACGTCACGATATGGCTTAGAAATTGATTCTACCTTGATCTTTGCTTTCCATACTTATACTTTTACTAGCAGGTATTGCCCGCCTTAACCCGGCTCAATATAATGTTTCCAATTGTATTTATTTTCTGTGTGCATAACCTACCCATATGTTTTCACCTTATAAGTTACCAGTAGGAAGGCACTTAAGGTATTGAAATGAACATTTTCTGTTCTTGACAAAAAATTGTTCAGTAGTCCGTTACATTTTTGTTCTTGCCAAACTATTTCGTTAAACGAACATGACCACTATACCTAATATTTTTTAAAGCTCGTTTTCCCCCCTTTTGGAGCTAGAATTTTCTAAGTGTGCTCCTACACTATGATGGATACTATGAAAGGATACTTGAGTCCAAATTTCACCTTTTACCGTTTGGGCTGTGCGTTGA